AAATGTGCACATTTGCATTATAAAACCTGGATATAAACTTTGGTATTGTATTAAATCTGCACATCGACACTGTAAAAACTGGATTCAAACTGGAGTGTGGTGTTAAATCTGCAAATCTACACTGGAAAACCTGGATTTAAACTGCAGCACTGCCTTAAATCTACACATAAGCACTGTAAAACATGGATTTGAACTATAGTACTGTGTCTAATATGCACATCTACATTGTAAAACCTGGATTTAAACAGTTTCAAATGAATCTCATTCATCTTTCTGCTTTGGTTTGGTGACGTTTATGGATTCTACTGACTAGAAACCCACCAGCGGTTCAAGTTGTCTTTAAATTTGACGTAGTAATCCTTGTATTTCAGCCTCATCCAGCTCTCAGCGCCACTATTGTTAAACTTTATCTTCATAAATACTTAGAGCTACAACACTGGAGTTACAGGCACTGGATCTGGTGAATTTATTTCTAACGATTTGATTAAACAACTGAATAAACTCCCCAAATAATGAAATCTCAAGCCAGTTTTAAGCCTAAATGGCTCATTTTTTCTGCAGAAATGTCCCACACAGTAGAGTTATTTCTACCAATTTAGGTGAGAAAGTTAAAACAGGATTCTAGTTTCTTCAAAAGTGCAAAAATTTAAGTTAACTTAGCCGCTGCTTTCTTCCAGCAGGATTACAAAACAATAACAAAAAGGGGAAAAAAACACTAAGTCTAATGACAAAAACCACATTTTACATTTAGGAAAAACTAGAAACTTCAAGTTGACTTTCCTTAAAATCAAGCTGCAGCAACACTCATATGACAGGACTTGTGGCACTAATATCACTTGTTTATCTAATTTAGATAAACTCAATTCAAATGCATGTTTAGAATTGAAAAAAATCATTTAGGTTGATTCAAAAATTTATTTTATAAAAAGTTTTGCGCATGTAATTTTCATTATAAGGTGTCCTCTTGCCTTCTGTTGTCATCAAATTAGGCTTTATTTTGGATTTCTTGCCAAAAACTTTCACTTTTCTGATTTTAAATTGACTTTTGAGGCTAATTCTGTTGTATTTTTTCTACCAAAAGGTGTTGTGCCGTTGTGTCGTCTGGATTTCTCATCACGGCTGTTTTAAAGCCACAGTTGTTGCTCGTTTTACTGCTTCCATTTACAGTCGCTGCTTTTCAACTGCCTTTTAAAACGCTCCTCCTAAAACTCGTCCAACGTTTTTTCTTTTACCTTCAAATGTACCAGAAAACAGGAACTCTCCAATTACCTGCGTGGTTGTGCGGCTGCTGTGTGTGTCTGTGCAGAACGCTGCTCCGAGCCTCGGCTGCAGCAGCCACACATCAGGTCTGGGTGTGGCGCTCCATGTGGGTATGACTTTAATAAAGCAGGAATTTTATTTTCAAAAGAAAGAGATATTTTAAGGCTGACCCTCCACCTGCAGGTCTGTTGCTTTAGACTTGTGTTTCCAGCTTAAACACCCTCCATGAAGAAAAGAGTCACGAAGGTGTGGAGGAGCTGGGCAGTGGTCGAGCCAGGAGGAGATTTTATCGTTTATATAACTCAGTAACCGGAGATCGCATGTACGGTATACGAACATAAAAAAAAACAACATGAGCTAAAATAACCCTCTGTAATTTATACCTTAAACGTCTGAACCTAAACACCCACCAGCAGATTTAACAGGAATGCGATTATTTTTTTAAAATGCCAAAATTAGACAATTTCTCATGACTAGAAACTGTAAAAAAAGAAAAACTAACTGACAGCTAATGATTTGTGATGAGTGATCCCATTAGGAAAAGTTCAAGTTTAAAATCTGTGTTCTACGAGACTCACTGAAAAATTCGCCAACAATAATTTGCTTGCTCAAATGAGATTCTGTAAAAAACAAAAAATTCTGCTCTCCTTGGGGCAACTAAGAAGCCATGATTGACTTAGCTGAGACTCACGGTCATTTGACAAAAAATCAGTTTTCAGGTGAACTGACGACGACAAGAAGAGAGACTGAAAGGAAAATAAAACCAACTGGATCAAAAAAATAAATACAACAAGAAGAGAGACTGAAAGGAAAATAAAACCAACTGGATCAATAAAATAAATGCAGCATGGCTCAGAAACAGGGAACAGAAAGCAAGTTGTTGGAGATACATTCAGTTGATGGTGGAACATCTTTCTACATCTGATGGTGGAACATCTTTCTACATCTGATGGTAGAACATCTTTCTACATCTGATGGTGGAACATCTTTCTACAGCTGATGGTAGAACATCTTTCTACATCTGATGGTAGAACATCTTTCTACATCTGATGGTGGAACATCTTTCTACAGCTGATGGTGGAACATCTTTCAGAACTTGTTCAGAATCCCATCAACTTATCCATTAAGCATGGCTCAACAATGATATACAGAAG